ATCAGTCCTGCCATCCCAGGAATCAGTCTGGCAAACGTTTGCTGCACACTCTCCATCAGCATAACATCCCTCCCTCAGGTAAGGAGAACCAAACTGTTCACAATGCTCAGGTGTAATCTCGCCTGGTGTCGAACAGAGACACCAAGGGGTTCCATTATATAGTTCAAAAAAGTATCATCATGGGTCGACAGGATAGTAAAGAAGACAATGGTATCCTTGCCTTCGTTGCTCAGATCATTGAGAAAAGGAGTTAGGATGTCACGTTGCAGTTGTGTAGGACATTCGTGAGGCCATTTTTGGAGTTCTGTGTACAGTTTTGGTTGCCCTGCTATAGGAAGGATATTATTAAATTGGAGAGGGTGCAGAAAAGATTTACAAGAATGTTACTGGGACTGGAGGGTTTGAGTTACAAGGAGAGACTGAATAAGCTGGGACTTTTTCACTGGAGTGTAGGAGGTTGAGGGGTAACCTTATAGAGGTTTATGTAATCATGATGGGTATAGAAAAGATGAATAACAAAGGTCTTTTCCCTAGAGTAGGGGAGTTCAAAGCGAGAGGGCATAATTTTATGGTGAGAGGAGAAAGATTTAAAAGGGACCTGAGGGGCAACTTTTTCTCACACAGGGTGATTTGTGTATGGAATGAACTTCCAGGGGGAGTGGTATGGGAGGTATAATTACAACATTTAAAAGACATTTGAACAGGTACATAAATAGGAAAGATTTAGAGGGTTATGGATCAAACGCAGGCAAATAGGACTAGTTTAATTTGGAAAACTTGGAAGGCATGAGTGATTTGAACCTTAGGCTCTGTTTCTATGCTGAATGACTCTATATACCAAAACTCTTTTCCCCTCATTTGCGTTAAACATAGAATGATACAGCACGCAATGAGGCTGTTCAGCCCATCGTGCTTGCAACAGCTCTTTGCCAGAGCTATCCAATTAATCTGATGTCACTGTTCTTTCTACAAAGCTCTGTAAATCCAGGTCTCTTTGGATGTAATCAAAGTGAACATTGTCAGTTCTTGTGAACCTGCTTGTGGTTCAAACTTTCTGCTTGAGACCTTATGCTAAAGATGCACTTTAATTGTGCTATATTGAGTTCAAATATCTTAACTCTCTTTGTTCCTCCTTTTGGTGCACTAACAGCACTTCATATGGAGAGGTAACACGGTAATGAAAATGATAAACTCAGCATGTTTGAGGATATGTCTGCTTTGCAATGCCCTGTACATTTGGCCTGACCTTCCATCCCTCGATTATTCCTTGTTCATTCAACTATTCCACTCCAATATAAATGGAAAATCCGGGAAATACACAGTAGACTAAGAAATGTATGTGGTGAGGACTACATAGTTCACATTTCAGGTCCCTGACCTTGCATAGAATTCAAAGCAGTTAGATATTTGATAGTTTTCCAGCAAGTATACAGGAAAGGGAGGAGTGTAGGAACACAAGGGAATGTCTCAGGTAGATCAATGAGCATGCAGGAGTGATTCAAGGACAAAGGGATGATGGCGCAAGGCAAAACCTGGCGATTTACTCAAGTACAGAAAGTACTGTTTGGTGTTATACAACTGGAATCATGTTAAAAAGAGTGTCATGTTGTTCAAGCTTTTCATTTTGCACCAATCAGGACAAATGCAAGAATAGAACACCAAACTTCAAACAATGACTATTTATCCTAGAGGAGAAAAGGGTGCTGATTGGGTGGAAAGTTGATTGTGTCTGAAATGTTGCCGTAGGCAAAGGCTCTCCAGCTCCCAAGAAATTTGAAAAAGGTCCAAGGCTTAAATATGAGGTCTAATGTGTACTGACAGAATAAAAATAGAAATTGTGCAAAACTTAAATTAGCATCCGTCTAACCCACTAAGCTTATTCCAACATTTTCTGCTTTTATTTCAGATTTCCAGCATGAGATATTATGCTTTAGTGTACTGGCAAAAATGTGTTTTCACTTTGCCCGTGGGGAGATTGTGAGCATCATTATTACAACTTGTTCCATCTTTTTACCAGGAACTGAGAGCTTTATATTTACTGATGCCATGGGGAGTCATTGGGATATTTTCAATTTAAGGAATACCCCTCAACAAACAACTGAAAAAAGAAAGGTTGAGAAATTTATTCAGCAGCAACAAATGTTTTCAATTTGTCTTTTCATGCACAATGAGGACTTAGTCATTTCGGTTCTCCCTTCATGTCTATTGACCATCCTGTTGCTATTGTTGAGAGCCCATCAATGCTGGACACAGCAGAGTGCCAGCTGAGATGTTCGTAGATGCCAGAAAGGAAGCTGCGAAATCTCAATACCCAAACTGCATATAGCCCTGGGACAGAGCTGCTTTGAAGTTTACCATTCAATCTTTTACCTTTCACCTGAATGGGCACGGGGTGACCAGCGCTGAATATTTCATCTGAAAATCAACACTTTTCCGACAAAATTGCACTGCTCCAGCTGGCACTAGAGTATCGTTACACATTGAGATCTGTGCTGCTTTTAGAACTTTAGTGTCTCTGGAATGGGTGCATGATGTAGGGTGTAGTCATGTCCTCTGTCATTTAATGTAGCATTTTGATGATATAATTCAGTTGTCTCGTTGCTTTATCGATTGCTAGAGGCTCTGCAAAGATTAATTTTAGGAGAACTGAGAAACTTATCTTCTAAAGCTGACATCCAGTTGTAATATATGGGCTTTTAATCTTTAATTCCTTCGACTGATCTAATATTCTTTTGGAAGGAAACACCTTGAAATGACCAAGGACATTGTTTTAAAATGGCCACAGTGGTCACTTGACTTACCAGAGAGACCAAGTTTCTTAAAAAAAAAAATCTCTGATGTGGATTAACTTTCAACAAGTCAGGGCACTTCCACTGCAGAATTTCACCCTTGTCATTGTTTGAATCTTCTGAAAAAGAATCGAAGGATAATAAGAAATAGCAAATGTGTCTGCATAAACAGCTTGAGACAAAAAATCTAGCACGCCGATTATGCAAAAGAGTGCTGAAGGCATCCCTGACAACAAGGTGCAGAGCTGGATGAACACAGCATCATAGGAGCAGAAAGGCTGACGTTTCGGGCCTAGACCCTTCATCAGAAATGGGGGAGGGGAAGGGGGTTCTGAAATAAATAGGGAGAGAGGGGGAGGCGGATAGAAGATGGATAGAGGAGAGGATAGGTAGAGAGGAAACAAACAGGTCGAAGAGGCAGGGATGGAGCCAGTAAAGGTGAGTGTAGGTGGGGAGTTAGGGAGGGAATAGGTCAGTCCAGGGAGGAAGGACAGGTCAAGGGGGCGGGATGAGGTTAGTAGGTAGGAGATGGGGGTGCGGCTTGAGATGGGAGGAGGGGATAGGTGGGAGGAAGAACAGGTTAGGGAGGTGGGGACGAGCTGGACTGGTTTTGGGATGCGGTAGGGGGAGGGGAGATTTCGAAGCTTGTGAAATCCGCTGTACCCGTTGTGGCCTCCTCTACATCAGGGAAACCAAGCGGAGGCTTGGGGACTGCTTTGCAGAACACCTACGCTCGGTTCGCAATAAACAACTGCACCTCCCAGTCGCGAACCATTTCAACTCCCCCTCCCATTCCTCAGACGACATGTCCGTCCTGGGCCTCCTGCAGTGCCACAATGATGCCACCTGAAGGTTGCAGGAACAGCAACTCATATTCCGCTTGGGAACCCTGCAGCCCAATGGTATCAATATGGATTTCACAAGCTTCAAAATCTCCCCTCCCCCTACCGCATCCCACAACCAGTCCAGCTCGTCCCTGCCTCCCCTAACCTGTTCTTCCTCCCACCTATCCCCTCCTCCCATCTCAAGCCGCACCCCCATCTCCTACCTACTAACCTCATCCCGCCCCCTTGACCTGTCCGTCCTCCCTGGACTGACCTAGCCCCTCCCTAACTCCCCTCCTACACTCACCTTTACTGGCTCCATCCCCGCCTCAGCGACCTGTTTGTTTCCTTTCCACCTATCCTCTCCTCTATCCATCTTCTATCCGCCTCCCACTCTCTCCCTATTTATTTCAGAACCCCCATCCACTCCCCATTTCTGATGAAGGGTCTAGGCTCGAAACGTCAGCTTTCCTGCTCCTATGATGCTGCTTGGCCTGCTGTGTTCATCCAGCTCTGCACCTTGTTGTCTTGGATTCTCCAGCATCTGCAGTTCCTACTATCTCTGAAGGTATCACTATTTGTTTCAATGGCATCTTGATAGCTTTGACAATGGGAGATTAAACCTTTCATTGTTAGCATGAATTGTCCTATGTGTGATAATAGTTAACTACCACGTAACTGAAAGTCTCCTTTGTGAGAAGCTATGATTATGTTCAGAGTGAATACAGCAGGTCAGGCAGCATCAGAGGAGCAGGAAAGTCGACGTTTCGGGTTTACACCCTTCATCAGGACTGCGGAGGGGGCAAGGAGCTGGGAAATAAATGGGGGAGGTGGGGCTGGGGCAAGGTAGGTGGGATGGTGATAGGTGGATGCAGGTAGGGGATAGTGGGGATTGGTCAGTGTGAAAGGTGGGGCGGATAGGTGGGAAAGAAGATGGACAGATTGTGTCAGGTCAAGGAGTCGGGGATGAGAGGGAGGGTTGTACATGGGATGAGGCTGGGGGTGGGGAGATTTTGAATCTGGTGAATTCATTGGGCTGTAAGCTCCCAAGGCGGAATATGAGGTGTTGCACCTCCAGTTTGTGTGTGGCGTCATTGTGGCACTGGACGAGGCCCAGGATGGACATGTCACCCAGGGAGTGGGAGGGGGAGTTAAAATGGTTGGCAACTGGAAGATGTTGTTGATTATAATGTATAGAGTGCAAATCCTCTGCAGATCAGTTGCTGAGTGTGCATTTGGTATCCCTGATGTAGAGGAGGCCACATAGGGAGCAATGGATACAGTAGACCAGGTTGGAGGATGTACAGGTGAATCCCTGTCAGATATGGAAAGATTACCGGGGCCTGGGATGGAGGTGAGGGGGGTGGAGTAGGGGCAGGTGTAGCACTTCCTGCGGTTGCAGGGAAAGATGTCGGGTGTGATGGGGTTAGTGGGGAGTATGGAGCGGACGAGGGAGTCGCGGAGTGAGCGATCCCTACAAAAGGCAGGTAGGGGCGGAGAGGGGAATATCTGTTTGGTGGTGGGTTGGATTGTAGGTGGTGGAAGTAGCAGAGGATGATGCGCTGAATGCGGAGGTTGGTGGGCTGATGTGTGAGGCTAAGGGGTCTCTATCCTTATTTTTGTTGGGGTGAGGTGTTTGACGACAGAAGTGCGGGAAATGCAAGCGATGCGGTTGAGGGCATCATGGGTCAACGGAGGGGGAATGTTGCGGTCCTTGAAGTAGGAGGACATCTGGGATGTCCAGGAGTGGAACGCTCTATCTTGGGAGCAGATGCGGTGGAGGTGGAGGAATTGGGAGTAAGGGATCCCATCCTCGTAGGAGGGTGGGTGAGAGGAGGTGTAGTCCGGGTAGCTGTGGGAGTCAGTGGGTTTGAAATAGATGTCAGTGCTGAAACGGTGACCAGAGATGGAGACAGAGAGGGAGGTATTGTAGATGGTCCAGGTAAACTTGAGGTTGGGGTGAAAGGTGTTAGTAAAGTTGATGAACTGTTCAAGCTCTTCATGGGAGCATGAGACAGCGCTGATACAGTCATCAATGTAGCAGAGGAAGAGGTGAGGGATGGTGCCAGTTTAACAGCAGAAGAGGGACTGTTCCACGTATCCTATGAAGAGGCAGGCATAGGTCGGACCCATAAGGGTGCCCATAGCAACGCCTTCAGTTTGTAGGAAGTGGGAGAAGTTAAAGGAAAGTTGCTGAGGGTAAGGACAAGTTCCATTAGGTGGATGAGGGTGTTGGTGGAGGGGGACTGGTTGGGCCTGCGGGAGAGGAAGAAGTGGAGGGCTTTTAGGCCATCTGCATGGAGGATACAAGCGTACAGGGATTGGACGTCCATGGTGAAAGTGAGGTGTTGAGGCCCAGGGAATTGAAAGTCTTGGAGGAGGTGAAGGATGTGGATAGTATCTCAAATGTAGGTAGAGAATTCCTGGAATGGGGGAAAAGACAGAGTCAAGATAAGCGGAGATGAGTTCGGTGGGGCAGGAGCAGGCAGTGGCAATTTGTTGACTGGGGCAGTTAGATTTGTGGATTTTGGAAAGGAGATAGAAACGGGTGGTGCAGGGATGGGGAATGATGAGGTTGGAGGTCTCCTGAGTTGATGAGGTTACTAATGGTCTGGGAGGTGATGGTTTGGTGATCAGGGGTGGGGTCAGAATCGAGGGGGTGGTAGAAGGAGGTATCGGAGAGTTGGCGCCTGGCTTTGGTGAAGTACAGGTCAGTACACCATTATATGTTTGTACATTGATTCAGAAGTGAAAGTCACCATCTTGTGTAGGACCATGGGCTGCTCTATCATCAGAGAAGGAGAGACAACTTGTCATCAATTTAACCTGAGGGTCACAATGCTGCAGGAGAGGGGTTAGGTTGAGAAGGCAGTGCCTTCATGTTAACTTCAGCCAGTCTGGATTTGACTCCACCCCCCCGCCACCCCCCCACCCCCCCGCCACACCCCCACCCCCCACCCCCCCACCACCCCCACCCCCCCACCCACCCCCGCCCCGAGCTGATGTGACTCTGCATCACAAACCAACTGTCGAGCCAACTGAGCTAACCAACCCTAATAGTAGAAGGGAGTAACATCAAGAATGCCTGCAGGATGGGAATGAAAAGACCTCTCTCTCTCGACAGTTTTTTTTGAAGCTGGGACCCTATCTCTTTTACAAGTGTGAATATGTTACAAAGACTAACAATTTTAAAATAGAAGGAACTTCTATTGCACCCACACTGGAAAAGGACAGGTTGGAATTTGGAAGAGACTGCATCCTGAAGAGTTAAGTAAATTGCGTTGTCACAATCTCACTGGAGCTTTAAGATCACTAAACGAACATTGGGACACAATTCTTGTTGTCCATGAATGTAGAATTTGGGACATGTTTTCCTTTTGATTAATACATTTATTTTAGTAAGTTTATACTTTCCCTTGAGTGAATTCTATTTCGATAACATGAGATCAATTAACTTATTCATACAGCTTTACAAATGATAAAGTACACAGTGAATTAAGAAGTCATATCTTTCAAAGATTGAAATACTGTGTCCAGTTCTGGTCGCCTAATTATAAGAAGGATATTATTAAGCTGGAGACGGTTCAGAAGAGATTTACCAGGATGTTGCCGGGTGTGGAAGGTTTGAGTTATAAAGAAAGGCTGGATAGGTTGGGACTTTTTTCACTGGAGCATAGAAGGTTGAGAGATGACCTTATAGAAGCTTATAAAATAATGAGGGGTATATTTGGAGTTAATGGTAATTATTTTTCTCCTAGGATGGGGAATTTCAAGACGGGGGGGCACATCTTTAAGGTGAGAGAGAGATTTAAAAAAGACTTTGGGGCAAATCTTTTACACAGAGGGTGGTTCACATGTGGCATAGACTTCCTGAGGAAGTGGTGGATGTTGGCATAATTTAATAAGTACATAAACAGGAAAGGTTTGGAGGGATCAGGCAGGTGACACTAGTTAGTTTGGGATTATTTTCAGCGTGGACTGGCTGGGCCGAAGGATCGGTTTCCCTGCTGAATGGCTCTATTAGCTCAGTTAGTTGGGTGGCTGTAGTGTGATGCCAACAATGTGGATTCAAATCCCACACTTTACCAAGAAGGACTCTCCTCCACAACCTCTTCCCTCACCTGAGGTGTGTTGACCCTCAGCTTAAACCATCACCAGCCACCCCTCTCTAATGAGAGAGCAGCCCTATTGTCTGGTGAAACAAGGAAGACTTTATCTTCAGTGGGGATATGAATGGTCAGCTGTTGGATAAATGCCAGTCCTTTTTTCTATTGTTTATATATTCTACTTTGTTATTATTATAACATATTCACAATGAATTTTGTACATCTGTTGTACTTACATTAAATGAAATGCATTTTAAATTGTTCTTTTCCTTTGAAGACTTGTCTCTGTTTGAGTTTTATTGAACAAGAATCCTTGCTTTCTTCTCAATTTATCTCGTTATGGTTTTTCTGGTTGGCCTGTATTATCACTAAATCTAAATTTGGAATATTGGGTTGCTGTTGGTGACATGTTTATCTCATGCTTTCCTCAGACTGCTGTCCTGTGAAAAATGTGGTCAAGACAAGTTTTAGGTAGCTTCCCTGCTATAGTTGAAACAACGTCCCCCTCCATGGATCCAGCCTACTTTGGCAGTTCATTCTAAACTGAACACATGTTTGTATCTTTGAGCAAGGTTCCTGTTTTCATCTTTTATCACTTTGATCCTGGTTTTTGAAGTATTTCCTGCTTGTCCTTACAGTTAAGACCACTGCTCTTCGAATATTATTCATCTGGGATTTCTCAAGGCTCGCGCTCTCTTCATTTGATGCTTTCTTCTGTGTCTCATCTGTTAAATTGTTTTGTGTGATAATCAGCAAAACAAAAAGTTGAGTCTGCTTTAATAATTTTTGTGGTCTATCCTGTGCATGTATTTATTTTTAATCCTCCTTATTGCTTGACTCTGTGTAGTAGCTTGCTGGTGTGGTTATTTTCCAGTTGTCATTCTGTCCCCAAATTTCTCTTAGTTGCATTGTTACAACAAAAAAATTATGTGAGTTGCATTCTTCGTCACAGTTCCCCCACCATCCCATTGTATGACAGTAGTAAATAGCAAAGAATAGTGAATTAATCAAGATTGAACATTTCAGGAAAGAAATTACAGAAGTACTCACATTGTTTTCCAAATAGTCCAATTGTTTCCATCTTGTCTGATCCAATGTTATAGTTTACAGTCAGGTGTGAAGGTGTTCCCACTTTTCTCATTCTACATTTGATCTTTTAGTAAAGCATAACTTGCCAGTTTATTTCATGTGTAACTGGTTCATGCACTGTGATCATAAAGGACATGATCAGACAGATTTCTTGAGGCTTTAAAAAGGTAGTTTTTTTTAATTGTACTTAACTGAGCCTTATTATATAATTTAAAAATCTCTCCAAGTTTCTCATGCGAGTGCATATATTCAAAGTTCATACTCATGCAAAATAATTACAAACTGGGGAGAATAGGTTTTGACTTTGACTGTCAAAGCGATTTAGAGATGCAAACAGATGATTTATCTGTTCTTATGATTATATTGGCTGCTGAATTGAGTTCCCTTAAGATCTAACTGCGGCACCTGGATAGTCAAAAATCAGCAAAAAGAGTTCAAAATTTGAAATTGTTTGAGAATGCCATCCCTATTCCCAATTCCTTCACCTCCGCCGCATCTGCTCCCGAGATGAAGCATTCCACTCCCAGACATCCCAGATGTCCTCGTTTTTCAAGGGCCACAACTTCCCCTCCACAGTGGTCGAAAACGCCCTCGACCGCATCTCTCGCGTTTCCCGCAACTCATCCCTCACACCCCCTCCCCGCAATAACAACAAAAACAGAATCCCCTTCGTCCTCATGTACCACCCCACCAACCTCCGGATTCAACGCATCATCCTCTGCCACTTCCGCCACCTGCAATCCGACCCCATTACCAAGGACATTTTTCCCTCCCCACCCTTATCTGCCTTCCGGAGGGCCCGCTCTCTCCATGACTCCCTCATCCGCTCCACACTCCCTATTAGCCCCACCATCCCTGGCACTTTTCCCTGCAACTGCAGGAAGTGCTACACCTGCCCCCACACCTGCATCCCAGGCCCCAAGAAAACCTTCCACATTAAACAGATGTTCACCTGCACATCTGCTAATGTGGTATACTGCATCCGCTGTTCCCGATGTGGCCTCTTCTACATTGGGGAAACTATGCGGAGGCTTGGAGACCGCTTTGTGAAACACCTACGCTCGGTTCGTGACAAACGACTGCACCTCCCAGTCGCGAACCACTTCAACTCCTCCTCCCACTCCTTGGACGACATGTCCATCCTGGGCCTCCTGCAGTGCCACGACGATGCCACCTGAAGGTTGCAGGAACAGCACCTCATATTTCACTTGGGAACGCTACAGCCCAATGGTGTCAAAGTGGACTTCACAAGCTTCAAAATCTCCCCACCCCTGCATCCCAAATTCAGCCCAGCTCGTCCCCGCCTCCCTGACCTGTCCGTCCTTTCTCCTACCTATCTGCTCCTCCCACCTCCACCCCCACCCCCACTTCCTACCTACCAGCCTCATCCCTGCCTCCTTGACCTGTCCGTCTTCCCTTGACTGACCTACCCCCATCCTAACTCCCCACCTACACTCACCTTTACTGGCTCCATCCCTGCCTCCTTGACCTGTCCATCTCCTCTCCACCTACCTGCTCCTTTAACCATCTTCCATCCGCCTCCCCCTCTCTCCCTATTTATTTCAGAATCCCCTTCCCCTCTCCCATTTCTGAAGAAGGGTCTAGACCTGAAACATCAGCCTTCCTGCTCCTCTGATGCTGCTTGGCCTGCTGTGTTCATCCAGCTCTACACTTTGTTATCTCAAAGTTTGAAAGTTCTCTTTCAAACCCTCACAGTGTCTTGCTTTTCAGGGTTTCAGTTGCTTGTCCTGTTCTGCAGAGAAAGCACAAAACTGGCTGGCTGCTTGGTTGATTGGTTGGTTTGTTACATGACTTTCTTTCTCCAACTGACCAATGATCCAACTATGGTTATGGCTGGTGTATTCTTATTGCTTGGTTTACATGAGATTACAGCTGTGCACATGCCTTTCATAGCCATAATCCCGTTATCCAAGTGGTTAATGGTCAATTGTTTAATGGTTTGTCTCCACCCCACTGATGTTTTGCTAATAACTTGCTAATTTGCTAATGAGATGGCTCCCATTCATACTGCTGCAGGGCAAGAGTTCTTATCTCTTCTTTATTGTTTGTTCATTGCATGTGGACGTCACTGGCTCGGCCATCATTTGCTGCCTATCCCTTATTACAATTAGGAAAGTGGTAAGGAGTTGCCTTCGTGAACTGCTGCAGTCCTTGGAATGTTGGAATACCCCCCCCCAGGAAGGGAGTTCAAGATTTTGACACACTGACAGCATTGGAACAGCAATATGGTTACAAGCCAGAATGGCGTGTGGATTCAAGGGGTGTTTGAAGGTGGTGGTGCACCAATGCATTGACTGCCCTTGGCCTTCTAGATGGTAGAGGCCAGAGGTTTGGAAGATGTTGTTGAAGGAACCTGGGTGAGTTGCTGTAGTGCAGCTTGTGGATGGTTGATACTGCTGCCATGTATGTCAGTAGTGAAGGGAGTGAATGTTGAAGGTGATGGATGGGTTACCAGTCAGATGGACTCCTTTGTCCTGGAGGATGGAGAGCTTCTTGAGTATTATTAGAACTGTACTCATCCAGGCAAGTGCATCCACCACACTCATAATTTTGTGGATGTTGGGCAGGTGCTGGGGAAGCAAGACGTGAGTCACGTAGTGCAGGCTCCCTAGCTTCTAACGTACTCTTGCAGCCATAGTATTTATTATGCCTGCTCTGCTCCGGTTTATGGTCAATAGTAACCCCCAATAAATAGGATCTTGCAACGTCAGTGCCATTGATGTCAAGGGTTAGATACTCTTATCTGAAATGGTCATTGTCTGTTAATTGTGTGGTGTTTTTAGCTTGATGTTCAGGCCTTGCTGTGTGTGGACATAGTTTGTTTCAATTACTGGGCAGTCGTGAATGGTGCTGAACATTGTAAAATCATTAGCGTACATTCCCGCTTCTAATGGTATGATAAAGGGAAAGTCGTTGATGAAGCAGTTGATGATGGTTGGCCTTAGGACACTACTCTGAGGATCTCCTGCACAGATGTCCTGGAATTGAAATGATTGAACTCCAAAAACCATGAACATTCTCCTTGATAATAGGAACTGCAAATGCTGG